CGCTACGCGGGAAGCTCCTGGTCCCGGCCTCGGCCCGCTCGGCCCTTCGCTGTACCACGGCAGGAGCGGACCGGCGCGGTAGTGGCGCAGGCGGGCGGCGGGGCAGCCCCGAGAAGGCCCCCGAAGCCGGGTGATGCAACCGGCGCCGGGAAAGCGAGCAGCCCCACGTGCGCGCGTCGCGAGATCGCTAGACGCCGCAGACCGGGCGCGTGCGCTGCCTCAGTGCGCAGGCGTCGCTAGCCCAAGCTCCTCAGCTGAGCGCTAGGGAAAGCGCATTGATGGCCAAGTGGCGCCTTGCCACGCGCGTCCCGAGAGCAACGTGACTCCTAGGGACAGCTTTGCACCCCAAGGGGTGGCCGGGGGACCGTGTAGTTGAACTCTGTGTATTTGAAGCTCACAAGTTGGGTTCCTCTCTCCCTCCAAAAACATTAGCCTAATTTAAAAATCGTTTAAAATAATAATAAATTGTGTGGGCTATATACATAGTGGTCTTCTGGTTTTCGAGCCTGTTGGGTTCGCGTTTTTAGTCTTCTAAGCAACCCTGGTGGGATGTCAGACAGGTGGGTAGACATTAGGCCTGGTCTTCACAAGCAAGTTAGATCAATTCAACTATATAGGTCAGCCATGGTCAACCTGCGGCTCAGGAGCCACATGCGGCTCTTCCACGCCCCCCTTTAAAGTGCAGCTCGCGAAGCCTCTCCCGTGACTCGCAAAGCCACCCCTAGAAATGGCCCCCCGTTCCCTGAGCTTTTTTTTTTTTTTGCTCATCTTTTTTCCTCTGGCTCTTTGCCTAAAATGGGTTGGGCACCCCAATATGGGTCAAGAGTGTAAAAAATCCATACACACTCCCATCAACTTTATTAAGCTTGTCTCTAAGGATACGTCTATACTACAACACTATTTTGAAATAACAAGCACTATTCTGTGTAGACTATTAAGTGTATTCTGTGTAGACTAATAGTCTACTGTGTAGGCTATACAGTAGGCAAGTTAAGTCTATACAGTAGGCAAGTTATTTTGAAATACAGGCAGTCCCCGAGTTACGCGGATCCGACTTACGTCGGATCCGCAGATACGAACGGGGATTTTCTCACCCCAGAGGACTGGAGCAGCGGGACGCCTGGTCCCGCCGCCCGCCTCCTCCGGGGCGAGAAAAGCTGCTCCCCTGTGTAGGCTATACAGTAGGCAAGTTAAGTCTATACAGTAGGCAAGTTATTTTGAAATACAGGCAGTCCCCGAGTTACGCGGATCCGACTTACGTCGGATCCGCAGATACGAACGGGGATTTTCTCACCCCAGAGGACTGGAGCAGCGGGACGCCTGGTCCCGCCGCCCGCCTCCTCCGGGGCGAGAAAAGCTGCTCCCCGTCTCCCTGGTCTGCTGCGGGAGACAGCAGACC